ATCTTGGATCCGTCCTTTAAGAAAGAAGCAGGGCAGAGAGTGGTAAATTCCATGGCAGTAGTCTTACATTTTAAAAGCCAATCAACATGATGATGCTTGACTTGATTTCTTCTTCAAAGGATTCAGGTTTCTGAGGATGATTTAATACAGAATGACTGGCACCTGGCCAGACAGTTCTGCAAGAAAACAGGTAGATTCCATAGGGGTATACATCCGCAGGAATCTTTCTAACCAATGTTTGGAGAAAAGTTTTATATAGAAAAGAAGGAACAGGAAAGGGAAACAGTGAAATAGTTTTTCTGTTTCTCACTTAGATTCTTTCTCACATTTCACTCATTTTCCCTCTTGCCTCAGCACAATAAATGTATACAAGTTCCTGAATAATTCCTTTCTCACCATCAGCCTAGTGCATGCATTACTTTCTCCGCTGGAAGCCTACTTCTTATCTGCCCTTGTAATATTATACCAATATTCTAGAAAAGCTGGGGCTAACCTTGCATGAGTTAAGCTCTCCAGACACAAAAAGTGTACTACAAATTGTACCTGTCCTGGCACCTCTGCCTTTGCCAGATATGTTTAAAACACACTGTCACTGCCGCACAGATACAATAGAGTTATCCCTTTCCACAGGAAATGTCTACTAATGGGGATGGGAGAGGGAAATTTCTCCTCAAAATGTTTAGTCTTTTCAGAAGTTATTCAAATACAATTGTGAGAGGGAAGTATATTTCAGAATTGTATCTGACCTTACCGTTTGTCTGATTTTCTACCCAGGAATTAATGAGCTGTCTGGCTTGATCTGATCCTGTTTTGAAGTTGACTGTTTCCAGACCTGCTTTGTACAGTTTCTTAACACATTTTAAGTATACCTGTAAAGACAGCAATTGTAGCCATGAAATGAGCAATATTTTAAAAACAGCGCAAAGGTGAAATAAAATATAAAAAGATTTTTATAGTGATGCCATGGTTAGACTGTTCTCATTGCTCACTTCCTGGAAAAAACTGCCAAACTGGGCCAGAAAACTATCTTGATCCATGATATTTTCAGATTATTGCTTGGCAGTTAAGAGTATATATTAGAAATGCTTAATTAATTTCTTGAAGAAAGTCTGATCCAAAAACATTGCTTCAGGTTTGTTTTAGAGTGTTTTATTATCATTATGTCCAGTCCTTTTTTTTAAAAGCTTTTTTCCTTATTTTTAAGGATAAGTATTTTCTTTTATTTAGAGGGTTTATATGTTTCATTTTGAAATTGGCAACTGAAAGTTTTTTACACTTTCAAAAGTTTTTTTGAGGTTGAGTTTTGAAGTGGAGAAATATGTTGAAGCGAAGATATTTCCTGGAAGAAACAAACAAACAAATAAAAAAACCCCCAATGTTTTAAAATTAAAAGGCTTTGAGGGAAGAAGCAGGGAATGGGAATTCTATTACCAAATAGTGTTATATATTACTCCATTCATTTTTGAAAGGGGGCATCTTTTTGCCTGAAATTGCTTTCCATTCATGCTGTTTTCAGGGCTACGGCAGAGGGAAAAGCCTTGGAAGTCCACACCGATTGGGACCACTAGAGTAACAGGTCACCTACTCTGACCAGTCCTCCTGTATTACAGGTTTAGAGAGAGTTTAGCAAGAAATCACTCTAATGTACAACTCACCGGTAGGACTGGACATGTCTTTTCAGCATACAGTCTGTTGGCAATGTGGATTGAATAATTAGCTTCTGGTGCAGTGATATCGGAGAGAAGTTCTTTAAACAGTATGTGGATATTCATAGACTTGCCACACTGGGTTGTTGACAAGAAGATAAAAAGGAATACCTGTTAGCTTATTTTCAGAAAGAGAATTATTTATAACAAAGGGAAATGAACAATGTTTGGACATTTGCAAATGAACATGTACTATAGTCTAAAAGCTCCACAGGCTAGATGTTCAATTAAGCAACAAATAATGTACAATTAATTCATAGTATATGCTGACACTCATTCTAGGTGATAACAAACAGAAAACTTCAGTGATGAACCTGAAGCCTTATGGTTCAGGAGCAAGATGACAAAAAGAAAAATTCAGGTGTCAATGATTGCAGTTGGCGAGTTGTCATATAAAGCTTTTAGTTCCCAGCTTCTGCTTGTATTTTCACGCCAGCTTTCTGCTGAAGCTGCAGATAAGAGTGTGAGATGACAAGTAAGTCAGGAAGTATCTCGTAATATAGTGAAAAAACTGATTAGCTGTCTAATACACCAAGAATAGTGCTTCAAGTGACACAGCCTACGAGCATGTAAGAAAAATGCATAATGATAAACAGAGACTGGAACTTCATTTTATGAGAAGGAGAACTGGGTTGAACTGCACTTTTCTAAATGCTTAAGCAGACACTAAATGCTCTAGCTGATATTACCTTTATTTTTCTTTATGAAAAATGAGTTTTAAAAAAGCCTTCCTGTTCTTTGCAGTTACCACCTTGTGCTTGTGGATCCCAAGTGGATGTGGACAGGCCAAGGAGCATGGCTTGTGTTAATCTTTACAGAGGCAGCAGATTAACACAGAGGAAAGCACGCAGGTGATATCAAGGTACTGGGACCCCTCATGGTGTTCTTAGGGTAGGAGTGGGAATTGGAGGCTGGAAAGGTTCCTGTAGCTTTTGGAAGAGTGTGGTTACTTTTCAGCCTTTGAGGCATCTGAGATCTTTTCTGCCAAGGCATCTTCCTGCCCTGATTTGGAGTCTCTGTTAAGTCTGACTGCTGTGCCCCAAATCCAGGTGCTGAGCCCCTTTCAAGTGCTGTCCCTCGGCAGCACTTGTTGGTGTGCAGATGCTTGTCTACCCAAGAAGGTAACCTGGTGCCCAAAGCATCCTATGCCATTCTGCCACTCGTTCTGGTGCAACATGTGCAGCCTGTCTTCTTTTTTTCTGGTTTTGTTTTGCTTTAACTTAACATCTCTTAAATTAAGAGCTTTAGCAAAGTTTTGGGAAGGTGTTGAACCTACTTGAAGCACAGTCAGAACAGTCTATTTTCAGGAGAAAAATGAGAAAGAGGAATAAATGTACCTTGGGTTTCTGTACCTTGGTCTGAATAGTTCCTCCAAGTCCTGCAATTCTGTCAAAGTGGAGAACCTGCAATTGAAAGTAGCAGTAGAAGAAATTGAGTACACGAAGTCCACTGAGAGTCACTGGCATTTATGTTGAAATTGTAGGTTTGGACTAACTATCTCTGATTAGTAAATAGATAAAATGAGAAGTTTCATGTGAGCTTTAAATAATTATTTTTTACTGCCAGTGGCACTCTGAAAATTTGCAACTATGATTCTCAGCTTAGATCCCTTCTTTTCCATTCTATAAACCAGCTATGAACTTACTGTATTGCATTTGTAACTGTGACTTTTGTTTTCTGAATGTTTCGTCTTTTATATACTAGAAGTTGTCCTTTCTGCCTGGAAGGAATCGGATCTGTGAGATAATAGAAGCTGAAGCAAGAGACTTGCCGTAACGATTCTTCAAGACTGCTCTTTCTTAATAGAAACCAAAGGCCGTTCTTGTCCTTCATGGGGAAAAGCAATGGTAAGTGAAAACTCAGTTCCAGATCCCAAACTCCTGGTTTGGGATGCCATTTTCTTTTCTAGGCAGGTTTGTGTACAGTGCTAAATGTGTCTATGTGACTTTCTCCCCTCAACTGGATGAAGTCCCAAAGAATAAAGGGATTATCTGTTGCTATGTTGAACAGGATCAAAATGAGTTTGCATCCATTTATGTAACTTACTTTCTCCATCTGATACTCAGTGTCGCCTCTTGCTCCCAGATAGACCATGGCCAGGGCTGAAACGATGGTCATGGGGGAATAAAAGATGTTGTCTTTGGCATGGTGGACTTTCAGCTCTTTGAATACATCAAAAGAAAATTCTATATTTGCTGCACTGATGGAGCCCATTGGTAAATCAGTGTTATCTGAAGCAAATAGAAATATGAGTTTATTGTGGTGAAACGTGGCACTTCTTTTAAAAAACACTGTCAATAACCGAGAAACTGCTAGTTTATTGCCATTTTGGGGATTCTGAATTAATGAGAAACCCACAAATTCTGTACTCATTAGAAATATTGTAACTTCTGACCCGTTTATCTCTGAATACCTGTGTATTTTCTTTCAGCAAGATACTAGCTCATCATCAAGATAGTATCTTGTACTTACCTTTTAGGAAATGGATAGTTTCATCCATGCTTCAATATGATAAATATAACACTGAATGAAGGAGTTTCTCTATGGCCATCTAGAGGACTCTGAATGATATTTGAGACAATGCAAACTTAGTATTTAATTTCTTCTGTGGTTACTCTGGACCCCGCTCTGAATCTTTAAATCAAATGTATTCATCTCATTATACTCTTATTGTACTTCTTGCTGTTACTTACTACAACCAGCCACAAATTTGGAGGTTGCTTAGATGCTGAGCTAGAGATTTAGGGATTTTCTTCCATGTAGTCCCATTTCAGACATTTAATTTCTGCTGGTTCTTTCTTGCTGAGGAAAAGCACAATCATATATATCATAAGTACGGGGTTTGGCAGTACAGTCTGAAAGAGCATAGAGCTGCATTCATTCAGTCAGGTGCAAGTCCTCTACAGGCAAACAAATGTGACACGTTAAGGATATTAATTGAAACCTGCAGTCATTCAGTCTTTTGAATCTGAGACTGAGAAAGTTGCGTGCTGGTCTTGTGTCTCTAAAACAGTTAGAGTTGAAGGAATAGCAGCATTTCCATAGTTCCGTAGAGCAGATGTGCTTGATTATGTGACCTGAGATGCATCTGGCAGTAATGACTGTGGAACCACAGGCTCTGTGAATTGTCATACTGTACCTCACCTGCATTCTTCAGCAAGTGAGATTAAGAAAAGAGAACTGCCTTTATTCCCAAAATAATTATAAAAGAACAGTTTTAAAGTCATACTGGATTTTCAACAAAGAAAAGGTATTTCTTCTCGAAGTTATGATGTACAAACACTCGTATTTTGCATATCTAAAAGTATTTGACAGCCAAACAGTATAAGATCTATTGATAAGGCAAGTTAAAAATACTATATATGCTGTCTTTTTCACATCTATCTTATACTTACCTAAAGTTCTTAAACGTAATACCACTTTTTTTCCATATTAAAGAATACAAATTAAAAAAATGTATTTTATTTGGAGAAATACTTACACCACAAACTTCAAGGAGGCATGTAATAATCCAGCTTGCCAGACGAACCTAAACACATTCTCTGAGCTCTTGGTGATATATATTGTACCATTTGAGACACTCCCACTGTTGGCCCTCAAGGAGTCATCTTTTGAGTCACTGCCTTTCATCATGACTTTTTGATTCATTGCACTTTGAAACATTGAGTAGACCAAAGTTAGTCTGATACTTGTATCTGCTGCAAGCCAAGCTTTATTGAAGTAAACCCTAATTTTAGAAATTAATTCATTAAGCTTTTGCTGTGACTGTCCTGGGTTTAGCTAAAAACCCAGTCCTGTTTAGTGATTTTTACTTTCCAGTTTAGTCTCTTCTCAGAGGCTGCACTTTCTGCAGTCAGCAGCATGTTTTTGCAGACAGTGTGTGCTACTGGCAGTGATAACACCTGATGTTTACAGTTACTGCCTGGCACTGGGATGCAGAAAGGCTCTTGCTGATACTTATTCCTGTAGTGACCGAGGCCACTGCTGGCTCTTGTGTGCCACGCTGGGGGTGCTGGGTAGTGAGAGGGGTCACAAGGAAGTAACAGGTTGCACCTCTGGGGGGTAATAGACAGGACAGGTGACCAACGAGAGTATTCCATCCCATATACGTCATGTTTAGAATAAATTGAGTGACCATGAGAGTTTCTGCCCTTCTTTGCCCCTTCTCTGCAATGGCTGGTGTCCAGGGAG